GGCCCCAGGCCCCGCAGACGGCCTGCCGCACCCCGTTGCGAGCTCCGTGAAGGGAACCCAGGAATCCACGCCTCTTAGTGCTCAGGACACGGGCCTCCCGGCTCTTAGGCCCGAGCCCTCCTCTGCCAGGAACTTTGGAGCCATTCAACCTGCTCAGCAGTCCTGGCTGCCCTGTGCCCTCCCTGCCCCTCCCCAGCACGACTTTGCACCCCAGCACCCTCAGCACAAGCTGGGACCTTCCCATCCGGCCCCACTTACAGTCCTGTCAGCTCAGACCCAGAGCAGCCCCATCTGTGGGGCAGACCCTCTGACCACCTCCCGCCACCCCTCCCTGCTCCTGGGCTGGAGTCTGCCCCTTCTCCTCCACCCCCCTTCCCACGCCTCCTGCGAAGATGAGCCCTCCTCCATGCCCGCTGCCCCGCCAGCTCCATCCCTCCCTCCGGTTCCCTCCTTCCCTGAGCCCCCTCTTTCTGCAGCCCCCGGAGCCTCCCCCCTTCTCAGCCTGTACCTCCAACACACTCTCCTGCCCGCCTTTCTTTGCCCCGTTGTTTTTATTTTCTCAGTTATTAACAGACATTGTTGGCATGTTGCTGTTATTATGAAAACAATACATATGGATGGAAAGAGAGAGAAAAGACCACTGAGTACCGTAGCCACCACCTTCAGCCGGTCCCCAGGCCCCCACGGGGTGTCCACGGCTCTCGCCCTCACTCTGACTGCTCCCTCCCCTGTGTGTCCTCTTCAGGCTGTGAACCAGCAGACGGCCATCACGCTGCCTCAGACTGTGAAAAACATCATGGACCCCTGGATCCTGCAGATGGGCTTCCCTGTCATCACCCTGAACACCAAGACAGGGAGCATCTCTCAGAAGCACTTCCTCCTTGACCCTGACTCCGTCGTCACCCGCCCCTCAAACTTCAGGTGGGCAGACTGGCTCCCAGGGCCGGTGGGTGTCCTCGTGCGGGTCCCCAGGGGCCTCGCCTGCAGTGGTCCCAGCCCCAGCGCTGTCCACAGGCTCTCCTTCCTGGGCCAGGAGGAGGGGGTGCTTGGTGGCAGAGATGGGCAGAGAGTGGGAGCCGGGGCAAGGCTGCTCTGTGCTGGCGGTGGCCACGGCCGGCTCTCACCCCCCACCTCGGGTCTCTTTTGCAGCTACCAGTGGATTGTTCACATCTCGTCTCTGAAAAATGGCGTTCCGCAGGCAGACACCTGGCTGGAGGGAGCCACCAAAAGTAATGCAGACCTGCCCCTGTAGACGGAAGCCCCGTCCCCACTCCCAGCTTCTGGCCCATATGCTGGGGTTCCGGCAACCTCGGCCAGGGCTTCCTTCATCATTTCTTTTTAAAAAAATATATTTTATTGATTTTTTACAGAGAGGAAGGGAGAGATATAGAGAGTTAGAAACATCGATGAGAGAGAAACATCGATCAGCTGCCTCCTGCACACCCCCTGGGGATGTGCCCGCAACCCAGGTACATGCCCTTGACCAGAATCGAACCGGGGACCCTTCAGTCCGCAGGCCGACGCTCTATCCACTGAGCCAAACTGGTTTCGGCTCCTTCATCATTTCACTCCCCAAATGGAGCTTCCTTCTTTGGTTCTTTTAAAAAAATTATTTAATATATTTTTATTGATTTCAGAGAGGGAGGGAGGGGGAGAGAAAGATAGAAGCATCAATGATGAGAGAGAATCATGGATCGGCTGCCCCCTGCACGCCCCCTACTGGGGCTAGAGCTGCAACCGGGGCATGTGTCCTGACCAGGAATCGAACCATGACCTCCTGGTTTATTAAAATGGGGCTGTTCAGTATCTACCCCCACGGGATTGTGTGAGCATTAAAGGAGACTATCCCCACGAAATGTTTTAGACAGCGCCAGGCCCTGAGGAAGCCAAGTCATCTTCTGCCCTAGGCCAAGGCTGCGATGAACGGAAGGAAGACAAGCAATTAAAACTTCCCCGAGCTGTGCTGAGTGCTTCCACAGAGGCGTGTCTGGCCTCTGGGCTACTTGGGGACAGGGGCCAGGAGCTGGGATTAAGGGAGATTCAACCTCATGGAGAGGTCAGGGAAGACTTCCCGGAGGAGGTGACCTGAGTCTTAGAGGAAAAGTAACAGTTAGCTAGGCTAATGGTGGCATAGGAAAGCATTTCAGGCCCCAGCTGGTTTGGCTCATTGGATTGAGCGTCAGCCTGCAGACTGAAGGGTCCCAGGTTCAATTCCGGTCAAGGGCATGTACCTTGGTTGTGGGCACATCCCCA